ATACCTCCTCTCCCTCCCACCACCCCACATATATTGACCATGTCATCAAGGCACAATGTCAATGCATCAAACAGGGGGATGAGAAGGAACAAATTAGACACACTGAATTAAGGGGCAGATTCAGAGATCAAAACTTTTTTGGGGAAAGGAAAAACAACTTCATTTCTCTAAAAGGCTCTTGGAAAGTTAAATGATTTGCCCAAGATTACATAGGTAATAAGCATCAGATATGAGACCTAGGTCCTTTGGCTCCAAATCCAATGTTTTTTTCCACCATACCAAACACATTTCCCAACATCTTCCAACCTGAAACCATTCCTGATTAGAGCAGATAAATCATGAAATTCATGGTGGGTAAGGTGTTTAGGCATTTTTTTAAACTCTACAGTTTTATTCTTTTCATTTCCCATAATGCGTCATGTCATCTAGGACTCTATTGTTTAGTGAATTGGCACTGGTAGTACCTGGTAGTATTTATTACATTCAGCAAACATTTCAACAAATACAGATCAATTAAAATAATTTATTTGGTATAATACATATACATATACATGCTTGCAATCAAATAAAGCTTGCTGTAGCTAAAGTAACTTCTAATAATTCTGTTGCACAGTTATTGATGAGCAGTGTTATGGTAGAAAGTTGGATTTGGAGTTAGGAGAGACCTGGGTTTGAATCTTAGCCTGACCCTGTATCAGCCCTGACACTTAGCTATGTAACCTTTGATGAGTCACTAAACTTTTCAGAGAGCCAGTTTCCTCAGCTGGAAATGGAAATGATAATAATACTTTTGCTACCCACCTTTCATGATTGTTGTGAAAAAAAGTACTTTATCATGATTGTTGTGAAAAAAAGTACTTTATAAATCTTAAAGGGCAATGAAAATACAAATTATGAGCAATGATTCTAATTTATTATTGTTGCTCCATTTTTTATTTTAAAACTCAAGTACAGATTCATAGGTAAATAGTGTTCTTTTCTATTCAATTACTTGTCAAATGCTATGCTATCAGTATATGCACACTACTATAAATAATTCTTTGCTTAGATGTTCACAGAGCTGAGATCTTACACAACCATGGTCCAGTTTATATGCCTCTTTCTGTGAGAAAACTATCTCAATAAGCTTGAAAATAAGCGAAACGCCAGATTAGGGTAAGGATGGGTTGAAGAGTTAGGAGGGTGGGCAGACTTTGGTCCACAGGGGCGGATTTCAAAGGATTCACTGCATCTTGTAAGCTGTTGCCATAAATCTCTTCATGCCGGAGAAATTCATTGCTTGTTGTGTTCCACCACTTAAATAACTGCGGTCCTTGGAGTTATGTTCTTGCCATTCTGAAACATACTTGAGGCTTGCACCTAAGAAATAAATGGCTTTGATCTCCCAATCAGTCACTCATTTTCAGTGTTTGAGAGATGAGGTTCATAGACAAATCCACCCCTTTAGGATGTAGAACGGCCAATCAGGATTCTGCTGCAGTAAAAAAGAGTCTTTCACTGAAATCCCAGCTTCCGTTCATAGAAGCCAGGGTGCATGGTATTCCAGGGCTATTCTACAGTATTCCCTTTATTCCTTCTGCCCCCTGGGGCTTACAAGAAAATCTTTTGTCCTTATTTTCATGAGTTCCCACATGGTTTTGAACCTTCAGGGCTATGTTTCTAAAACTTCATTGGTATGTGCCAAAAAAAAAAAAAACCAAAACACAAACAGCAGAAATGAAAGGACCATTTTGAGATGTTAATTTCTACTTAATTACAGAAAAGAGACATTTGATGAGTCAAGAAAATTTTCAGTAAAAAAAAAGCCAACCTAGGGAATAGGTGTCTAAGAGATCATCAAGCATGTAAACTAATCATTCATATATTTAATGAGCATGAATTAAATGTAAGATAATTGCTCTAGGCACTGAGGGGTATATGAAGGCAGGATACTTCTCTCCAAATGGTTTATGATCTGGATGGGGAGGCAAGACTGCAGCGCAGGAAAAGTCAAATACCAATTTAAAAATGTGGTCTGGACCCATGATTTCATCTGTTTAGGGTACTCCCCAACCCCCACTCCCTGTGCCCTACTCCCAACTGCCTCCACCATAGAGAGTGTAACTCTTTACAATTTAAGAAAGATGCTCAAGGTATGGACAGGCTAAATGACTTGAACACAGGTTACACACAGTGTGTATTAGAGGCAGTACCTGACTGAAGTCTTCTGGACTTCAAGTCCACTTCCTATAGACTACTTTGTTAAGTAACAACATAAAAAATACATAGGAAATGTTACAGGCAAGCACATGATTAATAGGATCATCAATTTAGAGTTGGAAGGCAATAACTCACATTTATAAAGCATTTCAAGGTTTACAAAATGCTTTCTTCACAACAATCTTGTGGGGGTAGCTTAGTATTAGTATTATCATACCCATTTCATAGGTGACCTAACAGGCTTAGAGCAGTGACTTGCCAAGGGCCATAGAGCTAGTGTTTAAGAGGATTTGAACTTGTCTTCCTTATTCCAATCCAAGACATTACAATGCTACTCATAGAATGCTTTAAAATTTACAATGTGCTTTCCTCATATCAATCTTATTTATTATTTATTTATTATTGTTGTCCCCATTTTACAGAGGAGGAAACTAAGGCTCAATGGGGTCAAGGATTTGAACCCATGGCTCCTGATTCCAAGTCTAGCACTCCATTGCATCAGAGAGTATTTTCACAAATTCAGAAATTCAAAGGAGAGAGAAATCATATGTTGGAGTGGAAGGCTTTATGGATGAATTCTGACTTCATTCAGGCCCAGAAAGATTTAAATAGGTCCAGGAGAGACCAGAATAGACAGCATTTTAGTCAGGAGACTAATTAATATAAGCAAAAGGTTTCCTGGAAAAGTAAGTCACCCATTTCCTTGGTTGCCATTTTTTTTAAACTGGTAATTTTCTTGGATCATAAAGTCAAAGAGCTGGAAAAGTGGACAGCTATAGGTATTTTCTAAAGGCAAGACCCAAATGACAGAAGCCAAGGGTTTCAGAAGAATAATGAGAAAAATGGCTAAAAAAGAGCTGAAGGATGTCTAAAAGAAGGTAATCAGGTCTGTAAAGGGCCTGAAGATCATGTTCTATAAGGATAATTAAAGGAACAGAGGCTATTTATATCGGAGAGAATACTTAGGTGGGGACACGATAACTAACTTCAAGTATTTGAAGGGCTAGCGAGGGAAGAGAGATCACACTTGTTCTGCTTGGCTTGGCCTTCCAAAGTAGAACTAAGCAGTGGGTGAAAATTGTGGAGGAAGATAGCCTTGATATAAGCAAAAACTTTCTAACAATGAGAACTATTAAAAAATAGAATGGGTTGCCTCAGGAGGTTACAAATTACTTCTTATAGGAGTCTCCGGGGAAAAAAATTGGATGACCCCTTTTCAGGTGCATTGTAGACAGGATTCTTGCTCAGATGAGTTGGACCTATGACCACTGGGGTTTTTTCTAGTTCTAAGATTCTGCAAAACAAAGGTAGAGTGGGTTAGATTTGAGAGGGCCTGGAATGCCTTTCTGACTTAATCATGTAGGCACAAGGCTGCCTGAAAGACTTTGAGCTGGGGAGTGACTTGTTTACCGTGTTCACAGAGGTCTGTTTCAAAGGAGACATCCAAAGCTTCAGGTTTCCCTCTCTCCTTTTCTCCCTTTCTCTGATGTAAACCAATCGTCACTGGGAAATTGTTTGCTTTCCTAGTTCAGAGTTAATAGGCATAATCTGAGGCACACAAATATCCTAGGTCCTCAAACTGCTACTGATTAGGCTCCAGACATAGCGCCTCTGAATGACCAGTCTTATCCAACTAATTTACAACTTCCAAAATTAACGGGGAGGAGTGGGGAGACCTTTCAGCCTTAGTTTCATCTGTAAAATGAGGGGGTCAAACTCCAGGGCCTCTAAGGCCCCTCGAGATTGAAATCTATGATCCTGATAAATAGAGGGGGAGGGGGAACAGAATAGGAAGAGGCGGCAACAGTTGCTGGGGCTTCTCTCAAGCTGCTTTTACAATTTAAATGACGTGTATTTCAAAAGTCTGGCAAGCACATGCTTGAAAATGTATGGGGCTGGGGGGGGGGAGGCCCCGAGTCATTCCTCACCATATGGTTTGTGTTTCCAGGTTTTGCTTAGCTTGTGCTCACATGAAGATAGAAAATAAATACTGCAGATAAAATGACAACATGTAAGGGGTGGGGGCGGTTATTAAACTGCTCCAGGAAAAGGGACTGTCTCTTTGCAAAACAATATGATGGCCAACCTGGTGCTGCTCTCTCTCATCTTCTATTCCGACCTAGTATCCAGAAGGAGAAAAACAGGAGAGGACCGCCCCCCCCCGCCCAGGTCAGAAGATATTCCCAGCACCCGCAGAAGCCTGCAGCCAGCAGATGGCCCCCCGGTTCCTGTCTCCTCTCCAGACACAGGGATTTTGTGGTTTGGGTGGTAGCTAGGTCTGGCGGCCCAAGTTCCTTCATGCCTCTAGCCGGGTGTGTGGACACCCGGGGCAGGCTCTAGGGCGGCAGGAGGCCCGAGCGTGGGTCCTTTCGGGGAGGCTGGCTCTCGCGAGGTGAGGAGTAACTAGGAGGAGGTGGAGAAGGAGGAGAGGAGAGGAGGAGGAGGAGGAGGAGGAGGAGGAGAAGGAGAAGGAGGGCCGGGTTTGCATGCGCTCAGCAGTCCCCGGCGGGGCGGGGAGCCACGGATAGAAAGCGAGGAAATCCTATTCCTCCTCCCCGCCTCCCTTCTCCTCCCCTCCCGGGCTCCTCTCCTCCGCCCCCCTCCCCACGCCTTCCGCTTTCACCTAAGGCCAGTAGGTGTCTGGAGCAGGAAGGAGGGAGGCGAGAGCAGCTGAGGACTGGAGGGAAGCGGGAGCCCCAGCGGGAGGGAGACGGCAGGAGCGGAGGGAGCGAGTGAGGGAGTGAGAGGAGGAGCTGCGGTGGCGGCGGCGGCGGCGGCAGCAGCAGCAGCGGCAGCGAAGGCGGCAGCTGCAGCGGGAGTCCGGCCGCCTCTTCCCCGGCTCCCGGCGGACTGTTTCCCCCTTATCCCCTGTCCAGCCTTCGCCAGGAACCGAAGAGGAGTCGTCATGTAGCAGCCACATAGTCATCTCTTATTTGCAACTCTTTTTTTTTTTGGTGGGGGGAGGGCAGCAACCTTTTTTTGAAAAAAAATTCTTCCTCCCTCCTGCCTCCTTCCCGCTCCATTTGTGAGCCGCATCTGTTTCTTTAAAGAAAAAAATATATATATATATATATATATATATTTTCAGGTGCTTAGGAGAGGGTGGGAATAATAAATTATAGTTGAACCAGCTACGTACCCCTCCTTAAGGGCAACAATGACTGAAGAGAGCTCAGAGGTGCCCAAAGAGTTGATAGGTAAGATTCACGCTGTTTATTTGTTGTATTTCTCCATCTCCTTCCTCCCCATCCCACCTTCACCTTTCCCTCTCCCCCCCGGGATGACTCCAAGCGGGGACCAAGGTTTGGCAACGTTGGCAAGGAAGTTTTTCAGGGCTGTTGGCTACTATCGTTTTGTCCCCTCCCCCCGCCCCCAAAAGAAAGGAAAAAAAAAATCGAAGTGTCTTAAAAGGCAAAGGAGAGGTGGGGGACTGAGCAAGCAGCGGAAGGGTTTCGGGGCTGGGAGGCGGCGGGCAGAGGCGAGCTCTCCCGCGGCAGCCTCAGCGCTGCGCTGCGCTGCTGGAGGGGAGGTTTGCAGAGAGAGGGGAAGGGAGGGGAGAGAGAGGAGGGGCTAGGGAAGGGAGGGAGGCTCCGATCTGGAGTTCGGGAGGCAGGGGAGGAAAACCTGGCTGAGCGCATAAACCTCCCCCTCTGCCACAAACTCCTAGGAAGTCCCGCGCAGCAGCCCCGGGGGCGTAGTGGAGGCCGAAGGAGGTCGAGGAGATGCCCACCTCTCTAGCCCTGGAGCGCAGCATCCATCCTCCTGGCGGCTTCGCTCCTGGCTTCCACCAGGAACGCGCTCTCCAGCTCCGCAGTCCCTACCTCTCTCTATCAGTGTGCCATGCTGTTCTGGTTAAGTCACTGCGCCTGGAAAGGCGTGGCTTGGAGGAGCCAGTGGAGCTCGTCTGGGTGGTGGTGGTTGGGGGGGGCGGGTAGAAGGCTGACGTAAACTCGAGGCCAGGAAATTGAGAGTTAATAATAAAAACTTGCCTTTAATAATTATTAACCGCCGCCTGCCATCCTAAATCCTTTTGTGACTCAGCCAAGGTGACCTGTAGTTTGGAGACCCTCTGAGATAGTCACACTTGGGGAAGTAAACCATGCTAGGGAGGCGTTTTTAAGACATTGCTTGGGAGTCGAGGGTCCTTGGCCGTGAGCAGTAGGTTTCAATACTTTGGGGTTTAAGACAGGTTGCATTTAAGGCTTCAAGAAAAGGTATTAGAGTCTAAGGTAGATTGTGTGAGATCACACTTGGTAAAAACAGTATTTTAGACTTCATGGAAATGGGAGTGGAAGACTTTGTTATTGTGTATGTGTATGTATGTATGTATGTGTTTAGCCCTGGTGACCCACATCCTTTGACTAACCCTTCACTGGCATACTGGACAGCCTACAATTCAAGGCAGCTGATGATTGGCAATGACCGCAAGAGGAAGTTTCCAAATGCTGATCAGTCTGCATTTGTGGAATTTGCCTCTCTGGTTTCTGTCATAGACAGTAAATATTTCTTAGGAAAATTAGTGTGCTCTTCTTTGCTAACTCAGCTGGTAAAATAATGCAAAGAAACTGTTGCTAGACTTCGTTGAAGCCAGTGCTTTTGGTGAATTTCAAAAGGAAAAGTGACTTTTAGCCAAATTCAGACTAAACTTAAGGATAAGAAGTTAACCTTTTTTTATACCTGGGAGAATCACCCCATCTCCCCTTTCAATCTGCAAGTATAGATATAGATGTATGTATGTATATACTTACCTATATGTGTATACACATACAGCTATATGCATATATACATACAATAGTTAATATATGTATATGTAACTATATATGTGTGTGTCTATGTGTATGTATGTGTGTATGTATGTATAACTCTCCAAGGCCTTTTCTGCCTTACTTTTGTTTTGTTAGGGTGTTACATCTCCTTTAGGATAGAATGGACTTTTCCACCATCCAAGAGAAAAGAAACCTGCCCAGGCAAGGAGTATGCTTTCCAATCCTGAGAGCTCCTGGAGAGGTCCTTCTTAGATCAGGAGAATGCTTAAGGTGCCTGGGGAATTCTTATTGGGTAGCCTGTGGAGTGAGGAGATAAGTTTAATAGTAAGAAGGATTGCAGAATTTTACTCAGGGAAATATGTTGTTCTTTGCTTAATAATAGAAAGTTTAGATGGCCACATATGCTCAAGAAAAAAAATGGGTGAAATAAATTACCTTGGAAATTAGTGATAAGAGAACCTGACACACCTGACCAAGAGTTCGCTGCAAATCTGAAATTTGATTCATTTATTAAAAGCACAGGAAGGCCTGTCACTTCTTGTTAGTTTGTTTACATGTCCCTCTACCCAGGTTGACCACTTCCTTACTCCATTTTACCCTAATAACTTTCTCAGCCCTCAGAGGTCTAAGTTTGATTTTGGATGGGGTAGGTCAGGACCTCCTGATTTCCATTTTATCTTTTTTTCCCCTGCAAATGACTGTAAGGCCCTTTTTTTACGTGCTCTGTCCAGTTAGTTACATGTGACAACCTCGTCAAAACCTCTATATGCCATTAACACAAGACTCTTAGAAAACAATTGTTTAATAAAGCTGGACAAAACATTTTATTACCTCTTTCCCTCCTTGCCAGGTACACTTGGGGTCCCTTTTCATGAGTCTTAGAATTCTGTAGGGTGTTGCTTTGGTGAGGACTGACTATAATGGCAACCCTCCTTGGATGTTCTGACATGATCTTTTCCCCTAATCACCTTCCCCCCATGCTTCTTTCTTTGTCCTTCAAGGTCTACTTCCTACTCCTTCACTTAAGTTTTTATTAAGCACTTACTGTATGCCAGATCCTATGCTGGGATGTAAAGACAAAAGTAAAATACTCCTTGCCCTCAAGGAACTAACATTTTAATGGTGGCTACATTTCATTTGGTGATCTCATTGGCTGTCATGGTTTCATTTATCACTTCTTATGCAGATGACTCTGAGATCTACTTGTCCAGCCCTAATCTCTCTCTTGACCTCTAGTCTCTGCCTATTAGATGTCTAGAACTGGATTTCTTATAGGCATCTTAAACTCAATGGGTCTAAAACTGAACCCACCTTTCCTTCCAGACCTTCCCTCTTCCTAACTTTCCTATTACCACTGAGGGTACTGCCATCCTCCCAGTCACTCAGGCTTACAATCTAGGTGTTATGCTCAATTCTACACTTTCACCTCCCCTTTACCCCCCATATCAAATCAGTTGTCAAGTTTTGTCATTTCTACCTTCTTAGCTCTCTTCTATGTGGCCCCTTCTCCCCTCTGATGCTGCCATCACCCTCATCACCTCCCACTTAGATTATTGCCATAGTCTGCTGGTTGGTGTCCCTGCCTCAAGTCTCTCCCTGCTCCAACTCAAGTGGCTTCCTATTACCTCTAGGATCAAATATAAAATCCTCTGTTTGACATTCAAAACCTTTCATAATCTGGCCCCTTCCTACCTTTCCAGTCTTTTTTATACTTTATTCCCTTACATGTACTCTGCAATCCAGTGACATTGGCCTTATAGTTCCTGGCACAGGATGATCCATCTTGACCTGTTTTTTTCCTCTATTTCTTCTTTTGACTCCTTTCACCATCTATTCCCCATTCCTAGAACATTTTCCCTTCTCATCTCTGCTTCCTACTTTCTCTACATTCCCTTAGGTCAGCAAAGTTTCCCCTTCTGCAGGGAGGCTTTCCCAGGTATCCTTAATCCTAGTGCCTTCCTTCTGAGAATACCCTCAATTTATCCTGTATGTAGCTTGTTTTTTTTGCTTTTTTTTTTTTCGGTGAGGCAATCGAGGTTAAGTGACTTGCCCAGGATCACACAGCTAGTAAGTGTTAAGTGTCCGAGGCTGGATTTGAACTCAGGTCCTCCTGACTCCAAGGCCAGAACTCTACCTAACTTGTTTTTACAGTTGTTTGCATCTCCAATGCTTAGTATAGTGCCTGGCACGGATGTGCTTAATAAATGCTAGTTGAGTGACTAGTACTTGTAAGTATAAGTAACACACACACACAAACACACACACACATACACAGAATAATGTATAATATACTTGATATATACAGAATGAATATCAGGTAGTTTTGGTGAGGGAGTTCATTGGGAGCTTTGTTTATATGGGGGAAGGATTAAGAAAGTCTTCATGAAGAAGGTGTTTTTTGAGCTGAGTTCTGAAGGAAACCAGGAATTTTAAGAGGCGTTCTTGGCTTCTAGCCCCTATTGATCTCTCCCTTCTGAATTCCTGTGGTGCTTATTATATGTCATATATTTAGTATTTGATCATTTTGTTGTTTAGGAATCTGTTTCATGTGTATATCTTCTCTTCCTAATAAAATGATAAGTTCTTCTAGGATCAAAACAAATATTAAGTTTGTCTAGTAGGTGTCTAATAAATGCTGGATTCAGAATATCTGATAATAATGAGAACAGTTTGATATTAAAATTTCCTTTGCTAGAGAAGAACCATCCTTTTTCTCTCTTTCTCCTTGATTTTTTTCTTTGTTATGAAAGTATGTAATTATGCCATTCTCTTTTTTTGCAGAAAGTATCAAGGATGTTATTGGCAGGAAGATTAAAATTGCAGTAAAAAAGAAAGTAAAGTTGGAAGTCAAGGGAGACAAAGTAGAAAACAAAGTATTGGTAAGCACTTTTTCCCCCCATTAAAATGATTTGGAAGTATAACTGTACTTTCCACATTTTTGCTGGTTTAATTTGTATGGGAGGCTGGTTTCGTAATTGTAGGATTCTTTTAGATACATTATTTGAAAGATCTGAAAATCATTTTGTATTTACTGGGAGATCTTTTAACTGAGTATTAGTATATCCAAAGCATAGAAATATCTTGGTGATCTACATTTTGGACATTTAATTTCTGTAGATTATAAAACCAAGCCATGTGTTTTGTCATCACTTGTGGTCTTTTGTCAATTTATTTTGTAAAATATGATGTTATTTAAGTGAGTTATTTATGATGGATACAAAAAGTAATGTGAGAAAAACAAAAAGTCTCTTGTCTCTGGCCATCCTAATAATTTTTCTTGACTGTTGTCTTTATCTTATGAGTAACAATCTGATGTTTCATGATGTGAGGGGATTTGGCCTTGTTTTTCATTGTATCCCTTATGGTTCCTGGCATAATGTCTTGCATGTAGTAGGTGCTTAAATTTTTTGAATGGATACTAATGTATCCATGACAAAATGTAACATTACATATATGATATTTGATGTACCATAGGGAATTTAGGCTACCAGTTTTTTTTTGAGCATAGCATGCCTGTTCACAGGATGATAGAGCTAAGGTAAGTCAGTTATCTTATGTGGTAGATTGAAACTCATATAACAGTATTTGTGATGGAGCTGTGACTTAAAAGATGTGGCAATTGCATTTTAATGCTTGCCAATCAGCTTTAAAACTGGTCATATATTCTATTTTCAATTTGTATGGAACTCAAATTTCAATTTTTGTGATTTTATTTTATGTCTCTCCCTATTGGTTAGTGTCAGAGGAATACAGATGTCGGGGATACTGATATCCTAATTAATGTAAGTTCTTTGAGTGCAGGAACGATGATTTTGTTTTTATCTTTGTAATCTCAATATCAAGCATGGTATCCTGCACATAATAGACACTTAAAGTTTGTTGAGAAAACTACATTTTATACCTTTTCCTGAAGATGCAGTTATATAACTTGTAATCTCTTTCTTGGAAGAAGATGGTAAGCTCCATGGAGGGAAGGGAACCATGTCTTATATAAACTTGCATCTCCTTCAGTGTTTGGCACAGTGATTGGCACATAGCACTTGATAAATCTTTGTTGCCTTAAATAAGAATCATGTTTCTTTAAACCAAAAAAAAGTCTGATTTATTATTTTAGCACTCCTTTCACTGCAGCAGCCCTTCCTCGTCTTAGTTTCATGAACTCCTGTGGCTCTGCCTCAGATGGCAGATAAAGCCTTTCCCTCACTCTAAAGCTTTCCAGCTTGTTTCTACCTGCTGGAGCTTGTGTTGTGCTGAAAAAACCTGGGGTCGACTCTGAGCTGTGATGAGGCATTTAGAGTAGGACTTCACTGGAGGAACAGCTTTCTGAGGAATTTTTGTTAAGTAGCTTTAGGATATATGACTACCATCTCTAGTGAATATAGGTAGGGACTGTGCATATGGATTGATGACCTGTATTTCTTTACAATTCGTGTTTACAGGTCAGGATGACAGATTTGCTGAAGCAGTAAATCTTGATTCACTTTTGACCTGCACCAAAATGTGCTTATATATGCTAAGGCAACCAGTAGGGCATTGTTGGGGTCAAGATTCTATTTTATTCATATGTTGAGCACGCTTTATTAAATTAATAAACCTGATCTAATATAATCCAGCATATAAAAGAGTTGTTTTTGCTTTTTCTGGGAATAAAAGTTTAAGGTTTGAATTTCTTGTAGTTTTTGTCTTATAATATAAGGCAGATTTATAATGGTAAGTTACTCAAGGAAAGGGCTTACTTTTTTTAACTTTTTGCATCATGTAATATCATAAAAGGGTACTTGATATTATTTGGTATTAATAAGGTGTTTTGCAACTTTTTGCATCATGTAATATCATAGAAGCCTAAACAAAAGGGTACTTGATATTATTTGGTATTAATAATGAATGTGTTTTGCAACAACACAACTATGAACTCTGTAAATATCAAGGTTATGCCTGTCAATCTTGGTATTAGTCAGAGAAGTTTTTTATTCTCCAAACTGCCAAATTCATTGAATTAGCATTTTTTAAAACCCTGCAATTATTGGCACACAACACCAAGCATGTTAAGTTTCCTTTACATTGATCATAATTTGGATTTCATTTGTAGTATACAAAATAATTGACTGTTGGATCTTAGAAAGGACCTTTTTTTAAAAATTACTTAATTTTTTTCAGAATTAGGCAATTTTAGCAGAATTACACACTTGGTTGAAATAATGAAGTGCTCTTTCCTAGATTTTAATTTTAAGCAGTTGCTCAGATAATAAACTTAGAGCTTGGTTTAAATTTGTTGTGGTTTTTAGTTACTTACATGGGCAAGAATTGCTAAAAATAATAATTTCAATCTTTGAAAAGTCTCTCTCTGGTAAGCTTAAGTTTATTTTAGCATCAGATCTCAAGAAGGAACTTACCCCCAATAATTTTAGATTAAGTGAAATTCTAACACCTAGTTTAGCTTCATTAAATTTTCAATTATCTTTTATATTTTTTATTTCTTCCTTTCTGTTTGTTACTACTTCATTAAAATATGGGACCCAAGTTTCTATACAATTTACAATTACTACTATGTATTATCTATTTTGTTTTATGCAGAATTATAATATCTGAGTTGGGAGGACCTCAGAGGTCATCTAGAGTTTAAGTCAGGAGTTCTTTATCTTTTTTATATCATGGACTCCATTGGCAGTCTATTGAAACTTATGGAATAATGCCTTTAAATAATTGAAGGAAATGCTAAATTTCAGTTAGAAGTTAGTTAAAATGAAGATGCATTTTTTCCATGTTCTATGTTCATGTACCCCCTGAAATCTAGAGGTCTGTGGATCCAGGGTAAGAGCCCTTGGTCTAAACCAATCCTTACTCAGATAATGTACAATGTCCCCAGTAAGTGGTCTTCCAGGCTCTGCTTGCATCTGCTGATAGAAAGTCTATCCACTTCCCCCATAAACCAACTTAATCTATTTTTAGATTTCTCTAATTGTTAGGGAGTGTTTAGCCAAAATTTTCCTCCCTGGGACTTGTACCCTTTGGTCCTACTTCTGACTTCCTCATATCCCATCTAAATCATTAACTTCCACCCATTGCGCCTGATTTTGTTTTCAGAGACCAAATAAAGCAAGGCTAATCTCTCCACATGACAGCATCTCAAATACATTCCTAGTTTGTTCAGCTACTCATCCTAGGCCGTAGTTTCTATTCTCAACCATCCTGGTCACTATCCTCTAGAACATACTCCAGTTTATCAATGTCTTTTCAGAAACATAGTGTCCAGAACTAGAAGTATGGGGTAAGGAGGAGCGCTAGCATGGTGGAACTTATAGTGGTGGTGGAGAGGGAATCCTCTGCACAATGCCAAGGCAGAAAGGAGTGCTTGTGGTCTCTCACAGACCAGAGCACAGGCTAGGAAAGGAGTAAATACCTCGCCCTTGATCACACCAACTTGGAAGAACTGAAAATTTACAGGTCCCTAGACGTATCTCTGAAAACAGATGCACAAAACCCCTGAAACTTGGGACAGCACATTCTCTACACTGGAAGCAGATCCCTACCTTAACAAAGAGTTTAAAACTCAAGTAATTGGCTGGGAACATGAGCAAACTGCACAAAAAAAGTCAGACCATATAATCTTACTTTGGTGACAAAGAAGATCAAAACATACAACCAGAAGACAACAAAGTCAAAACTCCTACATCCAAAGCCTCCAAGAAAAATATGAATCAGTCCCAGGCCATGGAAGACCTTAAAAAGGTTTTTGAGAAGCAAGTAAGAGACGTAGAGGAAAAAGTGGAAAGAGAAATGAGGGTGATGCAAGAAAATCATGAAAAACAAGTCAACAGCTTGCTAAAGGAGACCCAAAAAAATACTGAAGAAAGTAGCCTAACCCAAATGACAAAAGAGGTCCAAAAAGCCAATAAGGAGAAGAATGCCTTAAAAAGCAGAATTGACCAGATGGAAAAGGAAGTCCAAAAGCTCACTGAAGAAAATACTTCTGTAAAAATTAGAATGGAGCAAATGGAAACTAGTGATTTTATGAGAAATCAAGACATTGTAAAACAAAACTAAAAGAATGAAAAAAATAGAAGACAATGTGAAATATCTCACTGGAAAAACAACTGACCTGGAAAATAGATCCAGGAGAGATAATTTAAAAATTATTGGACTATCAGAACTAGAAGTAAAGATGAGATCTCACAAGTGTGCAGTAGGGCTACCACATCCCTTATTATAATGTCTCCTGTTATTGCAGCCACAAATCCCAATGGTTCTTTCGACTGCTGTAGCATATTGCTCTTTTGTATTGAGTTTGTTAATACAAGTAGTGTGTTGAAAAACAAAAACCTTGGCCCTGGAGTCTGCAGAGATTGTTAGACTGTGAGCTCTTTGTTGCCCTTTCTTTGTATCCCCAGTGCTTAGTACAGTGCCTGACAGACAGTAGGCACTTAATAAATGGTTTTTGACTCAATGACCTGGGTTTAAGTCCTGGTGCCAATATTTATTAGTCGTGTGACTTTGGGCAAGTTACTTTCCCTCTCAGTTTCCTCTTCTGTAAAGCAGAGATAACACTGTTTGTACTACTTGCCTTATAGGGTTGTTGTGGAAAAACAAAATTCTCTGAAAACATTAGAATCGAAATTAGAAATGGGAATTATTATAGAACCCCAAGGTCTTAAAAAAAAAGAATTTTCTACCTGTACATGTGATGCTATACCATCCTTCTTACAATTGTACCTTACTGACTCCTTCCCTTTCTTCCAAGAGTGTGTTTTCCTGTCTCTATTTCTGACTTTTTTTTTACGCATGCTTGCCAACAATTTAAACTATTTCTGAATTAGTCTTGTAGCTGGAAGATCCATTATAGACACTTTTAGAGGAAAAAAGTAAATGGCGTGGTTTATTT